GTGGAGGACTACAACGTGGAGTCTGCAATATTTGCCATCTTGCAGATGAAGGAAGGGGAAGGAATAGGTGAGTGTACAGTTTGTCACCTGGGGCTTTGGTGACTGTGACGTTGGTGTTGGGGACAGGAGCAGGAGAGGTGGGGTTTGTGTGCTGCCACTTCAGCCTCCTGTGCTCAGGAAGGTTGTTAGTGAGGGCAGCTTCAATCCAGCTTCCAAAAAGCCCCAGGATTTCTGGGGAAAAGAATTGGCTGACAGTGCAACAGCTCCTGGGTAGAGCATGTCTGAGGAAACCTCTGCTGTTGGCAGGTGCTGAGGAGCAGCAGGAGCCCCTGGGGAGGGAGCAGAAATCCTGCAGCAGGACACTGTGGGAAGAGAATGGAACTGGTTCAAGAATCTTTGGAAATCAGAGCTTGCATCAAGGTGAAGCAGAGAGCAACAAGGGACAAGCTGGATCCAGGGAAGAGAACCGAGCCAGCAGAAACCCAAAGGTGTGTGAGGGGTTTGGCAGCAATGTGAGCACCCCTCAATGACTGGGGGATGCCTTAGCATTGCTTCCCCAGCAGGTCTCTTCTCCTTTCAGTTAAAAAGAGCTTCTGCTCACTGCATTTTGTCACTGCTGCAGCTGTGAGTGCTCTGCCACAAACATTTCCTGGTGACATGCAGCACTCTTCCCTAAACAACTTGGAATAAAGTCCTGATAAATAGTTAGGAATGTCCTCTGGCAGCTGCCTTGCTATCTGCTTGTCTCCTTTATTACTTTTCCCTGGCTGAGCAGAGCACGTGTGGTTTGAACTTTGTGTTTTCATCCTTCCCTTCCAGGTGGCCAAGAAGCAAAGGAAGGAGCAGCAGCGGCTGGAGAAGAAGAAGCGGCAGGAGGAGAGGCACCGGCAGAAGGTCCTGGCCACCAAGAGGGACAGTGCAGACACCAGGACAGAGACAGAAGCAGCCAGCCATGTCACCCTGGTCAAGGCCATGGCTGCCCTAAACATATGACTCAGTGCTCTGATGAGAAAAGCAAATAAAACTGATGAAGACAAAATTCCCCCAGGAGAATTTCCAGGCACCCCTGTTTATCTTGAAATCCATCTCTGCTGGGATTTCCAAACACAAGTGAACTTCCTCTTCCTTTGCTTGTGGGGAGGACAATTGCTCATTGATTCTGCATCAACCTGTGGTGAGAAAAGTTGTTTCAACTTAAGAGGAAGTAGAGACTTGGGTCTGTAATCTTGGAGTCACATGAAGGTCTGGACCTTTTCTTCACGCAACGGTGTCAGATTTATTTTGACAGCTCTTGATGTGCCTGGTTTTGTTTTGTTTTGGTTTTTTTTTTCTTTTATTTGGTTATGCCTGGAGGAGCTTTATTTTACCTTGCTGTCAGGGTGTCAGACAATCTCTTAACAAATCTCAACTCAGGAATATCTCTAGTGGATCTTTTTCTATTTAAATTCAAATAAAGTAAGAAAACAGAGTCCCAGAATCCTTTCCAAAGCAAAGTGTGTCAGCCAGCACTCATGTCTCAAACATGACATTCATCTTTTGTTTGCCATGCAGGAATACAGTGACAAGTTTTAATCTCACTAGAACTGCTGGCATTGCACTGAGCAGGTTCAGAAGTGATGAATACATGGAGGGAGATGGGGATTGCTGCATCCATGCTTGCTGGGGTTTGGGATCAGCTACTTTATGATGAGACCTGTAGGAGGGAAAAAACCCCAAAACAATAATCCCAGTGGACTCGAGAATGCAGAGCTGATTCTTCTGACCTGGTAAAATGTGACAGGAACAGGCTTCAAGTTTCTGATGAGTGGTGTTACTTGGACACCTGGAATCTTGTCCCCTTTGCCCTTTCCAGAGCTTTTGGGCCACTCCAGGGCTTTAGTCCAAGTCAGGAGCTGCATAGGTGTCAGTCTCCAAATGAAATTAGTACAGCCAAAGGACCAAGAGTCCTGGGGAGAACCTCCCAAGCAGCAGTGATCCCTGGGAAACCTGCCTATTTCACTTCAGAAATCAAGCTTTTTTCCAGGGTAGGTTTTTTTTCTTCTTAAATTCCATTTTAGTGAGGTCACCAAGTAGGATGCACAGCTTGACTCTTGTGATGTTTTCCACTGTAGGACTGAGAATTTGGATAGAGGTGAAAGGACTGTGGGATTGATCAGCCTTTGATTTATAGCTCACAGGGTTTCAGCTCCACTCAGGTTTTTGGGCTTGTAACAAGCACTAAGCTTGAAGAAAGCACATGTGCACTTACACACTGAGACACCTCATCAGCCAGGGCAGAGGTGAAAGGGATTTTTTACAAGTAGGGAGTGTTGCATTTGAAAAACTTGCCTGTGCTTAAAAGTTTATAAATCAGCATGGAAATATTAATGGGTTTTTTACTGAACTGCCAAGAACTGGGCTGATACTTGAAGAATAAAAAGGAAGGAGCTCTCCTGTAAGAACTGGTGGTGTAGGAATTCCTTTTTCTCCAAGACAGTCATTTTTACAGTAGTGGGAAGGGAGGTGAGTCACAGCTTAGTGGGGAGAAAGTGCAAATTCTTTCAGGGGGTGATAAATTGTGACAGCAGGTTTGGCAAGGCAGTGCAGGTGACTGTGTCACCCGTGTCCTGCCCTGTCCTGTGTTTTGGTCTGAAAGGCAGCTGTGTTCTGCAGGTTTGAAGAGATAAGAAATTGCAGTTGTGCACTGTGAGTAAGAGTTTTGATCTCAATGAATTGGGGTTTTGTCCTGTGGAGCCAGAGCTGATAAGACATTGGTTGTTGGCTGGAGGCCAAGGAGGGAACCCAAACCTCACCCCATGGTGTGCAGGGTGAAAGGAGGGTCTGCAACAGCAGCACCAACAGCAAAGGGAGAGACTGGCCCACAGCTCGTGGCCTCTGGTACATGGAACAAAATCTGGGGCTGAAAATGCTTTCATTTCCAAGTGTAATATGATTAAAATAAACTCTTAATGTGCTGGGCTCATAAATCTTGACAAACCAGTCAAATTCCCTTTATCTTGCCAGGGTAGCTTTGTGCCTGCACAGCCATTCCATAGCCAAAGATGTTAAAACTGATTTTGTCCATTTCACATTTTTCCCATTGAAATTTCCACATTACCAGTGTATTTTTTTTTTCCTAGGGAATCTTTGTGCTGCATTCTTCACAGAACTCAGTTTCTGCAGTGAATTTGCTTTAAAAACTGATGGTGGGTTTTTCTGGGAGGAGGAAGGCAGGCAAGAGAGCAGAGCAGAACAACTGTGATTCATCCATGGTGTGTGTTTACTCCTTGGTGGAGCTGAGTGCTCTGTAATCCACGGTCCAGGGGTGGACAATAAGCCCTGGATGTTCCCCTGGGCTCTGAGGAGGATGACTGTTTGTTCTTAGCAGCTGGCTGACAAATATGAGGGTGTTTTGGCTGTTGCTGCAGCAGGGTCAGTGTGAGCCTCTCAAGGGCAAATACACAGCAGGAGGATGTAGAAAACCACTGTCCCTGCCTCCTGTCTCCCTCCATCATCTTCCCTGGACTTATTTTCCCAAATCCTGCCCCTGCAGGTCAGGAATTCAGTTGAACTGGAAGTTGTAAGCATTTGGGCAGGTCCTGGCTGACCTCCATTAGCATGGCTGTGTATGGGAAGGGTTTTCTGCCCGTGCTGTTCTGTGTCTCCTTTCCCTTGTTCCTACGTAGGAGCTGCCTTCTGGTTTATCTCACAGCTTTGCCACATTTGCACCCATGGCCTCCATGCCTGCAGAGCTTTGGGAGCTGCAGAAAGGGAGAGAAATTGGGCATGAAGAATGCTCCATAATCCAGTGTGGGATAAAAGAACAGAAAAGGGAGAGAAGTTGGGCATGAAGAATGCTCCATAATCCAGAGTGGGATAAAAGAACAGAAAAGGGAGAGAAGTTGGGCATGAAGAATGCTCCATAATCCAGAGTGGGATAAAAGAACAGAAAAGGGAGAGAAAGGGAGAGAAGTTGGGCATGAAGAATGCTCCATAATCCAGAGTGGGATGAAAGAAGATGGTTTGTGCTGGTGTTGAGCTATGGGGTGGTTCCTTGGAGCTTCGTGGGTGCAAGCAGCAGCCTTAGAAGGCAGCATTGGCTCTGTCTCAGCTTCTAGAATCCTTATTGCCTGTAGAAAATGAGAAGAAATGAGTGGTTTGGAGTTATAAAGATACCACATTTACTGCAGGAGCTTGAAGCAGGGGTGCTGTTGCTTGTAGTGAAACACCTAACCAAGGCAGGAGCCCTCAGCACTGATGTGGAAATCAAATAAATTACCCTTAAAACTCCTTTATTTTAGGCCAATCACATCTCACACCTCCATTACAGCTGGAAGTGCCTCCATTGAGGCCCAGGGTACAGCCAGCCCTGGCTTGTTAGAGGTAATTAGGGCTAATTTGGGATCATGTGCTGCTGCGGTGTGGGACAAGGTGGCTGCATGGAGCTGCAGCCTGAGGAGACATCTGTGTGCAAGAAAGAGCCACCCAAACCCCCACTGGGCTCCCCTGTGCTTCAGTGTGTGTTAATTGCTATAACAGTCATTAGAAACGGGATGGGGCTGGATTGTGGATTGAGGCTGAGCTCCTGGAGAGAAGCTGGCCTTGGAGCCTGCTTTGGGTTTGGGGTGCAGCAGCCACTTGCTGTTTCTGTGGGCTTTTTTTTTCCTCTGGAGCTTTTAAGATTTACTGGTTGGCTGCAGAATGTTACTTCTGGTCATTTTTTAAGAAAAAATATATGCAGGAACATTTTCTTCAAAAAATCAGCCCTCAAGCTCCATGCTGTTACCTACCCCTTCCACCACTGATTCCCAAAACACAACACTGGCCACAATTTTGAAACATATCTTTATTTGCAGGGTTTACCTGATTTTTATGAGTTACTCAACCATGGGAAGCAGGTTTTCCCTGTGCTAAGGCTCTGGAGAAAGGTGCTGGACAATTCTTCAGTGCCACAGGGACGGCAGAACTCCCCAGTTCTGATGGTTCCTGCCAGGTTTGGAGCTGGGCCATGGCAGGAGTGCCTAGCAGGAGGGTGTCTTGCCCCTGCACTTGTAGTTGGGGTAGTTGCTGTAGGATTTGCGGTAGGAGCCGGCTGCCCTCTTGAAGCACTCCACTGCCCTCTTGTCGCATGCACACGTCCGCTTCTGGCACGAGTTCCCCTTTTCTGGAAGAAAATTGGGGGGGATGGAGGCAGCTGAAGGGTGTGAGGGTCAGGGGGTGTTTTTTGACCGTCCTCACAGCCCCTCTGTTGAGTTTGGGGTGTCTCAGGTGGTCTCGTGTCTGGGGTGTGGAGCATTCACTCCACTTTGTCTCTGATGTGTCTGTGGGTGTTTCCCTGGGTCTCTGGGATGAGCTTTCCTGGGGTCTGTGCAACAATGAGCGCTCAGGGCAGCTGTGCCAGGTCCCCATCCAGCACGGGAGGCTCCTCTCAAACCCTTGGTGTTTGGCCTCTTGGGAAGGACAAGGCCCCTCCTCAGGGAAGTCCCCAAACTCTAAACTTCACCATAATCCAGCAGATACTTATTTGCCTTATTCCTGGCACTTTTCCTGTATTTCCACCCACTTCACTGTGTGTGATTTCCAGGCCAGGATGATCTAAAGGGGATGTTGGAAGCCAAGCTCCCCGAGTGTGGGTGGCTGTGCCTCCCTGCTCAGAGCTCTGTCCCCGCCCCGCTCTCACCGCAGGTGATGTGGTTTCTTCGGAAGCTGTAATTGTAGGTGGTCGTTTTGGGGCTGCAGCCGGACGCGACCAATTTCTTGTAGCAGCAGTCGTGGGCGTGGCAGCACCTGGGGGCAGGAGACAGGTGGGACAATAAGCCGAGGTCAGGGACAGGTGGGACAATAAGGTAAAAATCAACCACTGCATCTTTGCTGCCGCCTGCTGCTGCTGCTGCACCGCTTCTACAGAGGCTTTAAGGACAAGCAACAATTTTCTCATTGCTAATTCCCCCCTCAGGAGCAGGACCCAGATTGCAGTGCTGTACGCAGGGAGGTGAGGAGGGCTGGGGGCTCTGCCTTGTGCCAGTACCTGTCAGTGGCATCCAGGGGCTGTTTGGAGCCGCCCCAGCCGCAGTAGCAGCCGTACCCGTTGTAAGCCAGCGCCGATTTCCCCGTCTTCTGCTTAATCATCATTGCAAACTGGGCCAGGTTGCAGCTGGCAAGGGTCAGTCCTAGGACTGCATAAGGGAGGGTTAAAAGCACCAGGAAAAGCAACCTCCCATCCCACCTTTCCACAGCAAAAATGGGATCTCACCATCCCCACCTGGCTGTGGACAGGGCCTGGGAGCTTTCCCGGGGTGGGAGCTGGTGGGGGATACTCACAGAAGAGGAGCAGCGAGAGGAGCTTCATCCTGGCAGTGGCAGCTCTGGGGTTAGGTGAGCCCAAGGTGCTGCTGGTCACACCTTTTATGGCTGTGCACCCTCAGCAGGGCCCCTCCTCTGGGGAGCCCAAAGTGGGCAAATATTGACAATCCTCACCATACTGGTCCCGCTGCTGTGCAGGTGTCCTGGCACTGCTGGAGGCTGTGGGATGCCTTATATGGTGGAGCTCTTGGCAGGAGGGTTTGGATGTGTGGGGTCTTGGCAGGAGGTTTTGGATGTGTGGAGCAGCCTGGGGCTGAGTCTGTGCATGGCTCTGGGTGTCTCAGCATTCCCAGTGCTTCCCTGAGTAAAATGAGAGAACTTGAGGGAGAACAGGAACCATTTAGTATGAGGTGTCCTTGCCCATGGCAGGGGGTGGAATGAGGTTGTCTGAGGAGTCTGTGATTCCATGATACACTTTCTTCCTGGATGACAGATTTTTTGTATGCCTTGGCTAGAAAACACCGTTCTGTGTCTTACTGTTTCCATCCTGACTTAGCTGGGCAGGGAGAAAATGCAGCCAGTGCAAAGATTCCTCCCCTTCCAACTTACCAGAGTGGCTGAGATGCAGCACTGGGAGTGGAGGAAGGTCCCATGGTCTCCAGAATGGCTGTTGCTGGAGATGGAGCTGAGCAGAGGCCATGGATGGTGGTTTTCTTGCTAGTGGGGCTTTTTCAGTGCCCAGTTCCCTCCTGTATGTGGGGATGCTCCATCCCTCTCCCCATGTGTGCTGGGCATGGTGTTTTGCTCTCAAATACCTCATGGCATGAGGTGTGTGGTTCACCTTTATTTAGAAGCAAGATAAGGCAAATGGCAGAGAAGAAAAAATGCAAGTGATGTATGATGGAAAGTGTGGGAAAAGAGGCTGCTTGTGTCGTTTGCTTGGGGAGAATCTCTGATTAAATTGGTGGTACTGAGCAATCAGTTACCAGATATCTTCTGGCAGAGATTGCAGCTGCTTTGTGGTGCTTTTTGGGGAACCCCAGCATGGGCTAGCACTGAGGCAGAGGAGGAAATCCCCACAGGGCTGGTAGGGAAACTGAGGCAGGGAACAAGGATGCAACTTGTGTGGGAATCAGAGAGATGCTGAGAGAAGGGAACTCAGCTCAGCAAAATCTCTTCCCCCCTCTGGCATGGGCCCTTTGCCTCATCAGCTCTCTGGGCTAATTTAAGTAGTCCCCTGGGGTGGTGTTGAGTTAATTGGCTAAACCAGGATTTGCCATAATTCAGGGTTTTCCAAGTCCACAACCAGTTTTATCACAGGGCAATAAGGGTTATTCTTGTCCATCAAAGTGGCTGAGCTCCACTGAGAGTCTCTCCACCCCAGCCCCTCTACCTGTGGCAGGTTTGCAGGATCCCTTCCCCAAATGGGAAATAATTCCCCCCCCCCCAAGCCAAATGCCTCCTGGGAAGCTGTGGATTTTGTTTCATAGTATGAAAACCACAACTATTGCAGCCCAGTTTATTGCAATGCTCTCTGGGGGTGCAGCATCTGAGCCAAACCATCAGCATTTGGAAGATTTGTACAGCCGGATGTCCAAGCAGGAAAATTCACGGATGGTTAAAATTCACCCAGAATTTACAAAGGGAGAGTGTGATTCAGTTTGTCCCAGCCTGCAATCTGTCTGGGCTATCTATGCTCTCGGTGAGGATTTGATCCTTGATTTATGCCCTGCAATTATCAGCTGTGGGCACAGGGCTCCTTCCTCCTCTCCCCCGGGATTGCACACGGAGATTCCCTGATTCCCGGGTGGCATCGCTGATTTCAGGGCTATTTCCTGGTGCCATTGATTGCAGCTATGGGGCAATCCAAGATGGGAATTCCAGCTGGGCATCAGCCCCTGAGGAAAGTGTTTTGTTGCCGTTTCTGTGGCTTTATTTCCTTGCTGAGCCCCCCTAAGGTGGTTTGGAGCCTGGAGACCTGCCGGGATCAGCACCCCAAGCACAAAACCTGGGGATGCTGAAGTGGGGGGAAGCAGCCGCTGCCTGAGCTGCCTTTTCCTAAGGAATGTGCTCAGGGTTATTGCAGAATTGGGCCAAAACATTCTTTTCTGGTGAGATCTCTGTTTTGCTCAGCACTGGGTGTGACGCAAGCTCCCGGCCATGGTGTCACAGCAGAGATTTAGGGGATCACAGAATGTCTCGGGCTGGAAGGGACCCACAAGGATCATCCAGGTCCAAGCCTGGCCCTCCCACGCCATCGTGCCTGCCCCCAGCCCTTCCACCAGCCTCATTCTCCCTCTCTCAGGAAAACTGGACCTTTTCAGAGCCTGAAGGTTTAGAGCTGAGTTGGGGCAGTTCAGGGGTGAGTTGTGTCACCTCTCAAGTGTCATTTTTGCTGGGTTTCAACAGGAAACCTGTCTGAGAGGTGAGGGGTGGTCACTGGGCTCAGCTGAATCACTGCACGCTGTGAACCGGTGCTTTGGGCTCTCTGGTTTTATTTTGGAGCAACAGGAGGGAATTTGCTGAGAAGCAGAAGCGGAGGGAGCGGACAGGCTGCCAAGGGGACGCTTCCCATCCCGCCCCTCCCGGGACAGGGGCAGGGGTCCCCTCCGCCCTTGTTTTGCTGTGCTGGACCTCAGGGAGCGCCGCTCCCCCTCCTCGCATGCGGCTTCACCGGAGGGTTCCCGTCCTCGCCTGGAAGCCAAAAGGCCCCGAGCGGGAGACTCGCCAGGGCTGGGAGGCGCTGCCGGCGCCGTCCCTTCGCCGATCAGCCCGGAGATGGTTCCGCAAAGGGAGTTCTTGCTTCAGCAGCGCCCGGCTCGTCCCCGGCACCCGGCGCGGCGGCGGAGCTGAGCCCGGCCCAGCTGAGCCCGGCCCAGCCGAGCCCGGCACAGCAGCATCGCCCTCTCGCACCTGCAGGCGCCTCGCTGGCAGCGCGTCCCCGAACCTGCGGCAGCGACAGCGAGCCTGAGAGCTCCGAGCAGCCCGGGAACGGGGCCGCGGACAGGGGATGGTGCGGGAAGGGGCGTCCCGAGCCCCTTTGGGCGAGCACTCACTGCAGGACGGGATCCCCGCCCGGGGCGCAGACAGGGCCTGGGCCGGTCCCGCCGGGCACCGCCGCGCTGCCAGCCTGGCGTAGCAGCAGGCTCGGAGCAGGCAGCACCTGCGGGAGGAGCAGAGCCTGGGCTCGTCGGGAATGTGGCACCGGCTGCTGCCGCCCCAGCTGCCACAGGCTCTGCCAGCCGGGCGGGAGAGCCGCCAGCTCTGCTTCCTCCTGCTCTGGATCGCCCAGAGGCTTCTGTGTCCTGCCCGTTCCCACGCCAAGGCTCTGCCTCCCCGTGCAGGCCCTGCCCCGCATCCCGGCTTCAGGAGCGTCCCCCTGCTCTGGTGCCATCCCACGGACCGGGCAGCTGTCACTGGCACCGCCCTGCCCACTCCGGGATGGAGTTAGGGGTGAACCCTGCATCACTTTCCCTGCTTCCCGAAAACCTGACTCCTTCCTGCTGCTGCCAAGCACCCGCTCTGCATTTTGCAAAGCTTCAGCGGGGGCTGCTGGGGTGGTGCAGAGCCCCGGGGTTACCCAGCGTTAGCCCTCTGGGGCAGCGTTGCCTGTACCGATCCACCGAAGCCCTCGAGGTGCCCCATCCCCTGTAGCATCCATGGGCAGTCAGGTTTCCTACGGTGCTTCCCTCGAGTCCCGGTGTGAATGGGCGTGAGTGCTTCCCGTGCGCTGTGAACACACCTAGAGTGACCATAAAATGTGATTATTTTTTTTTTTTTGTAAGTTATGTGCCTCTTATGAGTTATGAGGCCTGGGGAACTGGGGAGGGAAGGAGGCTTTGCTGGGAGTCCCCCTGAGGAGTGCACAGGAGTTTGGGGATGAGCCTGGCTCCTGTCTGTGGGTCAGGGATGCACTTACAGCAGGCAAACAGCATCAGCAGCAGCAGCAGGACCTTCATCTTCCTCTCACCTGGGCCTGGGAGGAGAAACAGGGGACAGGCTCAGCCAGGCAGCATGGCCAGTTTGATGGGAGCAGCCGTGAGAAGCTTCCTCTGAAATCGGATCAACGCCAAAATCTGGAGGGAGGAAAGCGGCTGTGCCCCCTCGTATCAGCGTTGCTGCCTCTTGGCCGAGAGCGAGCGGTGTCACCTGAGCATCCCCCAGCTCCTGTCCCACCCTCCAGCACCTCTCACCTCCCGCCCCACCGCTTTTGGCCCCCAGTGCAGCTCTCCCCGCGCAGGGCAGCCTCGCACCGCTTCCATTTGGAAGCGATTTCGCTTTTCCTACCGGCACGGGCCGCTCGCTGCCTCCTCCCAACACCCCCCCCCGGATTTTTCTGTCCACAGCAGCGGAGTGAGGGGGATGTCGCTCACCAGGGATGGTGCTCGCTGTCCGTCTGTCCTCCCGGGCAGAGCCTGCCCTCCGTGCGCAGCCCGCGAGCTCCAACTGGAAGCTCCAAGAGAACTCGTCTGTCCCAAAGCCAGGAGCGCTACGCCCCTTCCCCCGGCCAGCCCCCCTCTGCCGCGGCTGACGCAGGGCCGAGCCCGAGTTCTTGGAAAGTTTTGGGAAGATGTTGATTATTTACGGGGATTTCTCTCCCTGCCCAGCAGCAGCTCTCAGAGGACGTTGAACACGAGCATTTTTTATTTCCGCGCTGATTTAATTTACAGCGGCTCTGGTGTGGCCAGCACAGGCAGAGGGATGAAGGGCGATCCCGGCGCCGCATCCCAGCTCCCATCACCGGCACAGCCAGTTGGGGTAGAGCCGGTAGCGTTTCTTGTAGCTCCTGGCGTTTCTCCTCAGGCACAGCGCCAGGCTGCGGTCGCACTCACAGGACAAGAAGGAGCACCGGGAGTCCTGACCTGCGGGACGAGGGGAGCCCAGGGTCAGCCCCGGCTTTGGGGGGGCTGGCACCCCCTTTTCCAGGGCCCTACTCACCGCAGGAGAGGCTGCCGTAGTGCCAGCTGTAGGAGTAGGGGCGTGTCTTGGCATCGCAGTGGTACCTACGGAGGTTCTCGTAGCAAGCATCATGCAGCTGGCAGCATCTGCACAGGAGATTGGAGCTTTAGGGGATGGCATTTTCTCCCCCTCATGCCACAAATTTAAAAATATTCAAGAACGTGTCTGTGCAGGGGGTTTTTAAGTGGATTCTCACCTGTCTGTGGCATCCTTGGGCTGCCCCCTGCCCCCCAGCCCGCAGTAGCAGCCGTAGAAGCCATAATACAGAAAAGCGTTTTTCCCTGTCGCCTCTGAGATCATCTGGTGCAGCTGCAAGAGGTTCCCGTGGGCTGGGGACAAGCCTGGAGGGGGGAAATCAGGGAGACCACGCTGATTCCCTGCCCCCTCAAGAGCAGCTCCATCCCTCCAGCCCCCAAATTGGCACCAGGGTGGGGATGTCTTAGAAATTATAACACAACAGAGAGGAAATGTGTTCCCAGCTTGGCACGGGAGAGCTGTGGCATGTCTGGGAGAGCTGGTGATGGGGAGAGGTGGAGAAATCACCAGCCTGGTCCTAATTTCAATGGATGTAACTGCACAGAGAGCCTTGGGGCTGAGAGAGGACACTTACCCCACACAAACAGCACGGAGAGGCTGAGGAGAGAGTTCATCCTTCTGATGGCTCTGGGAGAGGAAACCAAACCATTCTCTGTTATTCCAACCACCTTCTTTCTTTCCTCATCATCCGGGAGCAGAGGTTCTCCCTCTCTCTGGGGAGTAGGAGCAACGAGGGGGTAAAGATGCCCCCTTGTTTCAGCACAAAGCATCAGGGATGGGAAGCAATGGGAATCAGATGGGGGAGAGGTGAGAAAAAGCAGAATCAGGAGAAAGGGAAAAAATTGGAGGGATATTCAGCCCTCAAGGGCTGCACCCACTGCTCTTCTGGGCTGGCATCTCAGGCAGCATCTCCTGCACTCCTGCTTCCCAGCATGGCACTTGCCCAGCTTCTGGTGGAAGGAGGAAAAGAGGGAAAGCAATCCTCCATGCCCACTTACCTTGGGAAAGCCCTGCTGGCTTGCAGTGCCCTGCAGCCAGCTGTGCTTCCTTTATATACCTTGCTCCCATCTGCCTGGGTCTCCTTTGACCCAAGTCTTGCTGACTGGGCTTCCCTGCAATGGAGAAGGTGCCATCCTTCCCCTTCTGAGGAATGCCTGAAATCCCCTGAGGGCCCAGCCCCGTACCCCACGCACGGGGTGGGTGCTGGGTGGGATGAGGTGGAAAAGCAGCGTCACTTCCAGCCTGAGGAGGAAGCAAACACACTCTGCCTCAGTCAGAGATGCCTCCTCCTCTGCCCTTCCCAGCACCAAGGAGCCACATCAGGGGGGAAAAGAACTCTGGCTCAAGCTGGCCATGGACACAACAAGTTTGGGGCTTTCAAGGAGGTGTCAGGTGGCTCAAGGAGAGTTATCACTTCTTTGGGCAGCACTGAAAGCATCTCTAAGTGTGCAGTTCCCAGAGTCACGAGGCTGGGCAGACACTGGATGATTATACCTCACTCACCATGAGAAAACAGAAGCAAAATTAATCTTCTGAGGTGAGAAAGTCCAACTTCCCTTTATTTCTCTCCTTGTGTTTTTTCCACCCCCTCATTACACCCTCCTGCAGGAGCCATTCAGTCATCAACTGCCCTCCTAAATTAGCACTTGTCTAATGTAAGTGGTCAAGGCTTTGAAATCTTCTTCCTTCCTCTGTGGATGATTATTCTTTAACCCTTATTTCCAAGAATTATGGAATCCCAGAGTTATTTAATTTGGGAAGGACATTAAGGAAGGAAGGTGACTTGTCTGTCTTTTGTCTTTTGTGGTGGAAAAATTGTTTTTTGTTGTTGTCCACTGACAAAGTTTTCAGCCAAGCCCTGATTCCGGCTCCGCTTTGTCTCTGGTGTCACTGAGTGATGCTCCCTGGCTGGCATGTGCCTTGTGCTTATCTGAATTGCTCACAGCCCATTAATGCTCCTCTGGCTAATTACTGCCTCATTAATAATTTACAATTAATTTATGTACTCATGCTTTTTTCCTGCTTTTAGTGTGTTTACATAACAAAATGTGTTTCTATGAAATGCTTTATATGGAATTGTTTATAGCAGGAAATAGATATAAAAGAGCAGTTGTGTCATTCCTAGTAAAATCCTCACGTGCCACAAGCCAGACATCCCAGAAGATACTGGGGATACTCCTGTGAGCTTCTCCCTGTGCTGAGCTGTGCTTCAGGCTGTCCTGACTCTGGACCAGAGGAACAGAAAAATGACATCCAGCTTAGAAATCCCTGTGGTGTGAAGCCTCTTATTGCATTCCTGGGACTGTTCTGTTAGCGTTCCTCACAAAGCTGTTGGGATGTGCCCTCTGAGGTAGGGATTAGAAATTCATAGAATCCCAGATTGGTTTGGGCTGGAAGGGACCTTAAAGCCCATCCAGTGCCACCGCTGCCATGGCAGGGACACCTTCCACTGTCCCAGGTTGCTCCAAGCCCTGTCCAGCCTGGCCTTGGACATTTCCAAGAGGATCCAGGGGCAGCCACAGCTGCTCTGGGAACCCTGTTCCCCAAACTTCACATTGGGATAGATGTGTGAATTACAGCCCTGTTGGGACCATGGGAGTTTTGGGGTGTCAGGCAGATGGTGTGGCTGAGGAATGTGCAAGTGCTCCCCAAACTGGGCAGCCACCATTGCAGCCCTTACAGAAAAACACCATGGAGAACCAGTTTGCATCCCTTTTATTGTATCTGATATCTTTGCTGGGAAATGAAATCTAGAGAGGAGGAAGGGACACAAAAGAGGAAGCTGCTGTGTCTTTCCAGGAACTGGTGGGGTCTCCATCCGTGGTGTGTGTCCCCTTCTCACCCTGAGCTGCACCTCACAGGGAGCCTCGGGGGCTCTGCCTTTAGTGAGCCCCCAGCCCAAGCTTTTCTTGCTGGGGAAAAGCAAAACCTGGAACTCAGTGTGCAGATTCGCCCTCCTCAGCACTGGAGCTTGCTGCCTTGGCACTTGAGCTTGAAGTAGAAGCGGTAGGAATTGTTGTAGGAGTGCAGGGAGCTGGCGAAGCACGAGGCCACCGCGGTGTCGCACAGGCAGGTCTCCCTCTGGCACCAGCTCTGCTCGGTACCTGCGGGGCGAGCACGGAGCCCTGCGGCGCCTTTCCCCCGGGGCAAGGGGAAAGAGCAGCGTGTGCCGGGACTCGCCCCGCACACACCCTCAAAGCCCGTTTGATCATCGCGGCCGGGGGGCACGGGGCTGGATTCAGCCGGGTGGGAACGGGGATGGATTCAGCCGGGGATGCCCCTGTGTGTGCCCTGCTCAGGGGATTGGGATGGGATAGGGATAGGAATAGGGATAGGGATAGGGATAGGGATAGGGATAGGGATAGGGATAGGGATAGGGATAGGGATAGGGATAGGGATGAGATGGGATGGGGCTGGGGATGGGGATAGGGATGGGGATGGGATGAGGTTGGGGATGGGGATGGGGATTGGAATTGGGATGGGGATGAGAATGGGGATGGGAACTGGGATAAGGATGGGGCTGGGGATGGAATTGGGGCTGAGACTGGGATGGGCCTGGGCATGGGCCTGGGGATGGGGCTGGGATGGGGAAGGGATGAGGATGGGGATGGGGCTGGGATGGGCATAGGGATGGGGCTGGGAATGGGGATGGGGATGGGGCTGGGAATGGGATGGGGCTGGGATGGGGAAGGGATGAGGATGGGGATGGGAATGGGAATGGGGATGGGGACTGGGCCTGGGATGGGGCTGGGGGTGGGATGGGCATAGGGATGGGGCTGGGAATGGGGATGGGGATGGGGACTGGGCCTGGGAGGGGGCTGGGGGTGGTGCTGCTGCTGCCCACTGCCTGGTCAGCACTCACTGCAGGTGATGTTCCCATCGCTGGAGGTGAAGCTGTACGGGGTGATCAGGGGGCTGCAGCTGCCCTCTCTCAGCCTCCTGTAGCAGCAGTCGTGGGCTTGGCAGCACCTGCGGGGACACCAGGTCAAAGCGCGGCCCCCAGAGCCCCCCTCGGCCCAGCTGGAGGCCAGGGGAAGGTCCAGCCTCAAACTGAAGGCGACCAGCAAGAGGAGGCGGCAAAGGAACGGCGGGAGCTGGCTGGGGAGCGGTGCAAACCCCTCAGCGCTGGGAGGCAGCCAGCGAGCGCCTCCTCGGGAGCTGGGGGCGTGGGCCCGCTCCGGTACTCACCGGTCGGTGGCATCCACGGGGCTCCCGGAGCCGCCGATGCCGCAGAAGCAGCCGTACCAGCTGTAGGACAGCAGGGCACTCCTGCCCGTGGCCGCCCGGATCATCCGCTCCAGCTCCAGCACGCTGCCTCCGGCCCCGAGCAGCCCTGGGGGCACAGCGGGGCTGCGGCAGGGCAGGGAGCCCGCGGGCATCCCTGCACCTCGCACCAGGCACGGGCATCCCCCTGCTCTGGCACTGCCCAAACGGGTGCGTTCAGGAGTGGAAGCGTGAGAGGCTTTATCCCCTCCTCCAGAATTATGGGATCATGGAATGGTTTGGGCTGGAAGGAACCTCCAAGCCCATCTGGCTTTGTTCCACCTCCTGCCATGGACAGGGACACCTTCCACTGTCCCAGCTTGCTCCAAGCCTTGTCCAACCTGGCCTTGGACACTTCTAGGATGGGGGCAGCCACAGCCAAAGCCTCCTCTCAGCCACAGCCTCCTCTCAGGGAGGATGGCTTTTTCAGTCTGGCTTTTACAGACTCTGGATTTGGTCTGGCACAAGATATTTTAGCCCCTAGTCTGGCTCTGCCGTGCTGCAAACTGCAATCCCCCATCACCAGGATCAGCCATGGGCTTGGCACAGGCAGGAAAGGTGACAAAGGCTCCAGGGCCTCCCAAAAGAAATCTGCACATCCCAAAGGCTCCCCTTCCCCAGCCCTCCAGGACTGCAGCAGCTCTACACGAAGCACTGGAGAGAAACTGCCAGATTTAAGCAAAAACCTGAACTGTGCACAAAGGCTCAGGGTTTGTAGGTGGACTCTGGCCTGGCCAGGGACAGCAGGGCACTTACCACAAGCCAGGAGCACGGCAAGGAGGAGATTCCTCATCCTGGGGCTGCCCTGGAGAGGGAACAACAAGGATGGGTGATGATCCAGGGCGGGACAGAAGCTCCTCCAGTGCCCAGAGGAGCTGGGTGCACCCGGGCAGTGCCTCAGGTGACGTTGCTGTCACTGTGGGTGCACAGCCCTGGAAGCATCCCCGGGTGAATCCTGGCTGCTCTGTATCCCAGTTTGGGATGTGGGGCTTGGCAGGGACCCAGTGCTTTGTCCTGCCTGGGGCTGCTGGAGCAGCTCAGGACCTGCAGCCTTCCCCCCATGCCCTGAGCTGCCTGATGAGCACCTGGGCAGTGAAATCCCCTCTTCTTACCCTGCCTGGACCTGCAGTGCAGCGCTGCCAGCTCAGCAGGGTGGGTTTATATCCCTGTGAGGCCCACCCCCTCCTCTGTCTGTGCTGATGGTGTCAGTTGTCCTAAGCCAGGCTTGCCAGGAACAGGGAGCTGATTCCCATCCTTCTCTTCCCCAAAAAACATGAGTTTTCCCACTGCAGTGAGCACCAACTCTTCCTCCATCATCTTGCTCATCACTGGGCATGAGTCCATCTCCATCCCTGCACGAGGCCACTCAAGGCCTTGGCCATGGCCATGGTTTTAAAATCCATGGGATTTGGTGGCTGGAGAAGTGGGACAAAAGTGATTTACACTCAGGATGGCACCTCAGAGGCCGTTGAATCCTTGTTCCAGGTGTGGAGGCGGCACTTTGGGCTCAGTATTTCCTCAGTTCTGCCATCTCACCCCCTGAAGCCTCAAAGATTTCTCTTGGCTCCTTGCAACTGCCCCCCCCAAATCCATGGCTGCATTCAAATCCAGCTGTGCCAAATTGCAAGGGAGAACAGCAAACACCAGGATTGCAGATCCTGGGTCTGCAGTTTTTCTGTCTTGCCCTCAGGTTTTCAAGGCAAGGGGTCTGTGAAGGAATACCACCGGCAGCAAAGGCTGAAAAAGCCATGAAAACCCAACTTGGAATGCTTTGGGAATACAGTTTATTTAATTACCACAGCCCAAGCATGACACAGAGACACGGGGGAGACTGAAAAGCAGAGAAGATAAGGAACAAAAGCTGCTGTTTTCCCTTGAAACCATGGGGCCAAGAGCAAACACAGACACAAATGCAGGTTTCAGGCAGTATGCAGGGCCCCACCCTCAGGATTAGCCACACTCCTGGAGAGGGGAATTTGGGGTTGGGAATTGCGAAGAAATGACCTCCAGACTGGTCTGGAGTTGAGAAACCTTTGTTGAAATTCCTGAGAGCCACCAAAGCCAACACTGGAAGGGATGTCACCTCTCAGCTGCCCTCCAGGGTGGCAGAGCTGTCTGTCCCAGGGTTTTCCTTCCCTCTAACTCTTTATTTCCTGCTCTAAGTGGAATAAAACCCCATCCAAGCCTGTTAAGGATGGGGAGTGACATCTCACCTGCCTCCCTACTCGCCATCTGCACAATAAACCACTCCAAAATACCCCAACCCCTGATTTCCCCACCTGACTTTTAAAACCAGGGCATCCCTAATAATAAATTAATCAATCCTTTTCCCCCTTCCTCTACAAAATACTTCCAGAAGGTTTTCCCCACTGTGGTAGTGGCTGTCTGTGCTGCACCTTCTTTGGCAGGCCCTTGGATTTGGGGGGGAAATCTGGGGTTTTGCTGTAGAGTTTTGATAAATCTGTGTGGAAAGCATTGTCCAGAGACATAAATGGAGAGCAGAGAGCTGGGATCCCATCGTGGTTTTAACCAAATACTCTCATTTAAAACCCTCCTTTTCTGTGGAGGACCCATTCAGGGGAGTGCCCACCTGAAGCTAAACCCTGTCTTTAACTAACCCACAAACTCGAGGCCTTAAAAACCACCTGTGGAAGTTATTATCCCATTGGAAATGTGGAACTTTTCAGCCTTCCTGTGGAGCAAGGAGAGCTGGGTATCTCCCACCCATCTGTTTGCTCAGGCCCTTACTGAAGTGCAAACACCCTGTGTGCTTTGATCGGCAACATTGCTAAACATCCTGGGCTGGGGTGAGCTGATAGGAAACTATTTCCCTACTTATTTTATTTCTTTTTAGTGCACAGGTTGGCCTTGATCCTCCCACCCTGCAGGGTGGAGACCCCAGGTTTATGGTGGAAATTTATTGCTTGTTTCTTGCTGCCTTCGATGGGCATCTGTCAGTGGGAGCAGCAGCTGCTTAAGTAGGAGTGGGTTTAGGAAGGGATTAATGGGGGGAGATGGAAAAGGTTGGTGTAATGTGGAGTGTTCCTAGAAGGAAAACTGGGCTGTTTCCCAGAAGACAAACTGACTCAGGGATCATTTGTAGCCAGGGGGGATCAGGAGGACTCCCCCTCCCTCCCAGTTGCAGCTTTCCCAGCACAAAGAAACTCCCCCAAAAGAGTTGTTTTAGATCCCCTTGTGATCTTGTGTGTAAAGTGTAATTTTAAAAAGGTGTTTTCCTCAGAATTCATGAGTTTGGGGTTATTTGTCTGGTTTGATTCAGTGGCCACTGAATCACAGGGAGGTTAAAGCCAGTCTTGTGCTCCCATCGTGCTGCCTTTGCTCAGGAGGGGCTGTAGCACCTTGGTTTTAAACTGTTGGGGCTAAACCCCAAAGATTTGGGTGTTTCAGCAGGGTGACACCGCTGGGGTTTTGCTTTGGGTGAGTTGGAGGAATGGGAATTCCTGCAGGAGGGCTGGGACACCCCAGCACCAGCGTCACCTCTGGCTGGAGTTTGTGAGAGCCCTGAAGCACCCCCTGCTCCCCACACTCCATGTCCGGCAGGACAAAGCTTCCAGAACCTTCCCAAAGTCACGGGGCTGCTCCTGTGCCACGCCAGGCCTGGGGCCGTGTCACAGAGCCCACAGTGGGTCACAGCTGTCCCTGAGCCTGGGGACATCCCCAGGACCCCCTGGGACAGCACAGCCCTGGTTCCATCCACCCGGGACAGCCTGGTTGTCCCCATCCCTGTATCCACACCAGGACATCCCAGCCATTCCCAGCCCTGGGTCTGTCCCTGGAACATCCCAGCTGCCCCATCCCTGGGTCTGTCCCTGGATCCATCCCAGGACATCCTGACCATTCCTCCCCTGCCCCCCGCCCCCCCCCGATCCCGGGATCCGTCCTGGGACATCCCGACTGCCCCGCTCCTGCCTGTTTCCATCTCCATTCCCATCCATCCCTGTTCTGTCTCGCATTCCTATCCCTGTACCCTTTCCTGTTCCCATCACTGTTTCCATCCGTCCTGGTTCCCATTCCCCGTTCCCATTCCCTATTCCCATTCCCATCCCAATTTTCTGTTCCCATTCCCTTCCCCATTCCCTGTCCCTGTTCCTGTTCCCATTCCCTGTCCAGGTTCCCATCCCCATTCCCTATCACCGTTCCCTTCCCATTCCCATCCCCATTCCTCATCCCTATTCCCATTCCTCATCCTTATCCCCGTTCCCCATTCTTCATTCCCATCCCTATCCCTATTCCCTGTCCCTGTTCCCATTCCCATCCCTATCCCCGTTCTCCATTCCCATTCCCTGCTCCCATTCCTGTTCCCCATTCCCATTCCCGTTCCCATTCCTCATCCCCATCCCCATTCCTATCCCCGTTCCTATTCCCGTTCCCATCCCCATTCCCATTCCTATCCCCGTTCCCATTCTCGTTCCCGTTCCCTTTCCCTGTCTCCGTTCCCGTTCCCTGTCCCCGTTCCCATTCCCCATTCCATGTCCCCATTCCCGTTCCCATTCCCATTCCCCGTTCCCGTTCCCATTCCCTGTCCACATTCCCGTTCCCATTCCCACTCCCCGTTCCCGTTCCCATTCCCTGTCCCCATTCCTGTTCCCGTTCCCTGTCCCTGTTCCCATTCCCCATTCCCTGTCCCCATTCCCGTTCCCATTCCCGCTCCCCGTTCCCGTTCCCATTCCCTGTCCCCATTCCTGTTCCCGTTCCCTGTCCCTGTTCCCATTCCCCATTCCCTGTCCCTATTCCCGTTCCCATTCCCGCTCCCCGTTCCCGTTCCCATTCTCTGTCCCCATTCCTGTTCCCGTTCCCTGTCCCTGTTCCCATTCCCCATTCCATGTCCCCATTCCTGTTCCCGTTCCCATTCCCGCTCCCCGTTCCCGTTCCCATTCTCTGTCCCCATTCCTGTTCCCGTTCCCTGTCCCTGTTCCCATTCCCCATTCCCTGTCCCCATTCCCGTTCCCATTCCCGCTCCCCGTTCCCGTTCCCACGGGCGGGGCTGGGGCCGGCTCGCGGCGGGAGCGGGGCTGGGGCGGGGGCGGGGCTGGGGCGGGGCCGGGCCGGGGCTGTGGGCGGGGCGTGGCGCGCGCCCGGCAGCGCCGCGGTGGCCGCGGTAACGGCGCCGTGAGGCGGGCGCGGGGCAGGTGAGGGGCGGCGGGGCCGCTGCGGGACCGGCACCGGCACTGGCACCGGGGGAGGGAGCGGGGGCTGCTTCTGGGGCTCTGCAGCCGCGCTACAGGGCCCGGTTCTGCCGGCGGGGCTGCGCTCCTGCCGTGGGCCCGGCCGTGGGCTCAGCCCCCGGCCCAGCTGTGGGCCCGGCCGGGCTGTGGCACCGAGGGCTCTCGTGGGGCTGGGGGAGCCCTCACCAGGACAAGGGCAGTGGGCAGGGAGTGATGCCCACGAAGTTCCACCTGAGCATGAGGAAGGACTTCTTTAAACACCTGGAATACATTGCCCAGAGAGTGTCCCTGCCAGAGGTATCCCAGACCCGTCTGCCCACAGCCCCGTGCCTTGTGCCCCGTGCTCTGTGCCCTGTGCTCTGTGCCCCGTGCTCTGTGCCCTGTGCCTTGTGCCCTGTGCCCCGTGCTCTGTGCCCTGTGCCTTGTGCCCTGTGCCCCGTGCCCTGTGCCCCGTGCTCTGTGTCCTGTGCCCTGTGCCTTGTGCCCTGTGCCCCGTGCCCTGTGCCCCGTGCTCTGTGCCTTGTGCCCCGTGCCCTGTGCCTTGTGCCCCGTGCCCCGTGCTCTGTGCCCCGTGCCCTGTGCCCTGTGCCCCGTGCTCTGTGCCCTGTGCCCCGTGCCCCGTGCCCTGTGCCCTGTGCTCTGTGCCCCGTGCTTTGTGCCCCGTGCCCTGTGCCCTGCTGTGCCCTGTGCCCTGTCCCCTGTGCTCTGTGCTCTGTCCCCTGTGCTCTGTGCCCTGTGCCCTGCTGTACCCTGTGCCCCGTGCCCTGCTGTACCCTGTGCCCTGTGCCCTGTGCCCTGTGCTCTGTGCTCTGTGCCCTGTGCCCCGTGCTCTGTGCCCTGTGCCTTGTGCCCTGTGCCCCGTGCCCTGTGCCCCGTGCTCTGTGCCCTGTGCCTTGTGCCCTGTACCCCGTGCCCTGTGCCCTGTGCTCTGTGCCCTGCTGTGCCCTGTGCCCTGCTGTACCCTGTACCCTGTGCCCTGTGCTCTGTGCCCTGGGCTGGCCCTGCTGGGGCAGGGAGGTGGCACCACCGGAGCTGCCCTTGTCCCTTGCAGCCTGGCCCAGCTGGGATCCCGTGCTGTGGGTCAGGGCTGTGCAGTGCCCAGCCTCCCAGGCCTTGGGGGCACAGTCCTCCCTGGCTGTGGGTCCCCATGCCAGCCCTCACCAGACCCGGTTTTCAGCCTGTCCCCTCTGTCATGCACCGTGCTGGGGCAGTACAGGCACTCACGGAGGGCCCCACCAGGGCCTCTGCCAGGTTGGTTGGCTGGGGGTTCATTCTTGGCAGTGGCAGCATGGCTGGGGATATTTGTCAGCGCTCCCGGACGCTTGGGAGTTGTGCCTCGGTGCCTTGTTGCCTTGGAGTTTATTTGTTAGCAGCAGTAAGGAGGAGGTGCAGCCCCTGTCCCTCCCACGGGCTCCTGGGAAGCTGGGATGAGTCACCTGGGCCACTGTCCCTGTCCCCTTCCGCTGGAGGCTCAGGGGGACAGGTCTGTCAGCTGGGGCTGGGCAGGGTGTGCTGGGACTCTGCCTTGGCCGTGCTGAGCTGGAGGAGAAATGAAATGTTAGATAGCAAACACATCCCTGGCAAAGTGCCACAGGGGCTGTTCTCTCTGTTTGGTTTAGAATAGAATCCCAGAAGGGTTTGGGTTGGAAGGGAACTTAAAGAACATCTTGTCCCACCCCTGCCATGGCAGGGACACCTTCCACTGTCCCAGGCTGCTCCAAGCCCTGTCCAACCTGGCCTTGGGCACTTCCAGGGATCCAGGGGCAGCCACAGCTGCTCTGGGCACCCTGTGCCAGGGCCTGCCCACCCTCACAGGGAACAATTTAATCCAAGATCCCATGTAACCCTGCCCTCTGTCAGTGGGAAGCCATTCCCTGTGCCCTGGCACTCCAGGCCCTTGCCCACAGTCTCTCTCCATCTTTCCCATCAGTTCCCTTCAGGTACTGGAAGGACACAATGAGGTCACCCAGGAGCCTCCTCTCTCCAGGCTGAACAATCTCAATTCTCTCAGCCTGTCCTCCCAGCAGAGCTGCTCCATCCCTCTGCTCATCCTGGTGCCTCCTCTGGGCTCTCTCCAGCAGCTCCAGGTCCTTCCAGGGCTGGGGACCCCTGCGGGTCACTCTTCTCCCAGAGTTGCTCTTCATCCCTCCTCCACCCAGGTGTGCCTGGGATTGCCCAGCCCAGGTGTAAGGTTTTGCCCTTGGCTTTGCTGAATTCCTGAGGTTTGCACTGAGCAATGCACTGCTGGGGGACAAACAGCAGCTGAATGTGACTGTTCATTTCTGGAGAATGCCAAGCAATCCAAGGTGACCTTTTTCCCCTCCCTTGGCAAATGCTGCCACAAAACCCACAGGAATGGAAGAGGAGGTTCCCTGTGGCACTTCTCCAAAGTGTTGTTGTGAGGTTGTGACCCAGTGGCTGGGCTGTCTGGCCTGGCATAGCTGAGAGCTCCAGGCACAGCTTCCTCTGGGAAACATGCAGCAGAACGTGGCTTCCTCCTCAGTGGAGGTTGTATCACAGGATCATGGAATATCCTGAGCTGGGAGGGACCCACAGGGATCATCCAGCCCAGCTCCTGGCCCTGCACACACACTCCAACAACCTCATCCTGTGCTTCCCTCAGAGCCTTGTCCAAATGCTGCTGTGGCAGCCTCGGGGCTGTGCCCATTCCCTGGGGAGCCTGGGCAGTGCCTGCACCCTCTGGGGGAAGAACCTTTCCCTGATATCCAGCCTAAACCTGACACAGCTCCAGCCGTTCCCTCAGGTAAATCATTCTCTGTTGAGAAAATTTTGGGCAGTTTTGGACCAAACTTTTGGTCTCTGGAGAGTCAGAACAGGTTTATGTGTATTGAATCAGGGTTTTTTAATCTCACTGGTCTTGAGATACATCTAAAATATGAAGTGAAGTCAGTCTTATCCCAAAATCCACAATGGGAACTGAATCTGCCACTGCAGGAACAGTGCAAAGGCCAGAGCTATGCTCTGAGCTTCACTCCTCTCCCATTTGCACAGAGTTTCCAGCTTCAGAAGAAAGAAATTGTTCTTTCCATCAAAAACTTACATTCAGTGGCAAAGAGCACAACTCCCCAAAGCTCCAGGTCAGCTTCACACAATTCCTGCCAAAGCCAGTCCCTCCAAAGAACACATCTCCCACCCTCTGGGACTCACCCCTTACTGCACAGCAGGGTTGCAGTGGCGCCCAGTGATGCTCAGTGATGCCCATGTGATACCCAGTGATGCTCAGTGATGCTCAGTGATGCCCATGCAGTGATACCCAGTGATGCCCAGTAATGCCCAGTGATGCCCAGTGATGCTCAGTGATGCCCAGTGACACCCAGTGATGCCCAGTGATGCTTAGTGATGCCCAGTGATGCCCATGTGATACCCAGTGATGCCCAGTGATGCCCAGTGATGTTCAGTGCTGCCCAGTGATACCCAGTAATGCCCAGTGATACCCAGTGATGCCCATGTGATACCAGTGATGCCCTGTGATATCCAGTGGTACCCATGTGATTGATACCCAGTGATTCCCAGTGATGCCCAGTGGTACCCAGTGATACCCAGTGATACCCAAGTGATTGATACCCAGTGATGCCCAATGGTGCCCATGCAGTGATAGCCCAGATTTATTCTGGCATTACCTGACACAGAGCACAGCATGGGAGCCTCAGGGAGGCTGGAGACTCCTGGCCAGTCCCTGTAACCTTTCCCTCTGCTCCCGCCCCACAGGTGCGATGGCCACAGCGGCTTTCCAGGACTCAGCACCAGCTCAGCTCCGCTTCCCTCTGGGCACAGCCACTCTGCCGTGGGGCAGCACCATCACCATGCACGTCTCCAGGCCCAAATCTGCCAAGGGACAGAGGCCAAGCTTGAGCCACTGTCAGGGCACGGAAGCCTGTCCGTGCCATGTGCCAAGTTCCCTGCCGGCAGCCTCTCCTCGGGAACTGGTGAAGAGCCGGAGAGCGCCGCTCACAAAAGCGGCGTTCCCTCCTGCCAAGGTGTCTCCTGGGAAAATCCCAAAGCTCCTGCAGCAAGTGCCTTTGAAGACCTCCTCCTCCTCCTCCTCCTCCTCCTCCCTGAACAGGTACCGGGTGCTCCCCTCCATCGGCCGGAAGGGCACAGGGAGCAGCGCCGTGGAAGCCTTGGCTGAACGCACCAACCGGCTGGGAGTGAGCGAGGGCCAGGAGGATGCTCCAAAAGCCACCAAGGCTTTTTCTGGAGGACAGGGATCTGCCAGCACACTGTCAGGAAGTGGCATTCCCACTGAAGAGAGCTCACATGTGCACTGTGCCCCTGAGCAGTGGGGAGGGCAGGGGAGGCAGGAGAGCCCCTGGGTGCTCCCTGCAAGCCTGGAAGAGCCGCACGTGCTGCTCGCTGTCCGCTCTCCCTCTGGGCAGAGGTTTGAGCACCACTTCAAGCCCTCTGACAGCCTCCAGACCGTCCTTGCTGTGGCAGGACAGAAACTGTTGGCCAACTACCAACACTGCAGCCTTGAAACCATGGAGGTGCCCCGGAGGAGCTTCTCTGACCTTACCAAGTCCCTTCAGGAGTGCAGGATCCTGCCCAAGTCCGTGCTGTGCATCCGACAGGACGAGCAGCATGATGCAGCAGATCTTTAGGCACACAGACACTGTGGTCCTTCTGCTCAGTAAGCTGCATTGCTTCTTCAAAAAACTGAGAGTCTGATGCTTCCTGCACCTAGTTCTTAATCTTCTATCTCCCACAAAATCCCCAGGAAGCAGAGTTAGGGATATCTAATAGTACTTGAAATAGTATTTCAGAAAATAGTATTTCAGATGCATTAACCTGATTCATACAGAACAGCCTGTGTCACCTGTGCCATCACAAATTTCTGCCTCAGCACCACCAACCTTCAGCCTTTCTGGTTTGTTGAAGTTCCTGATGTTCTTTGAAAACTCAGGTTTCCAAGACCTCTCCTCTTGTCCTTTTCCATGTTTTGGGAAGGTACCACTTCTCTGAATGCAGAAGCACCATTTGGGAAGGTAGAAACAGAACTGGTTTAGCTACAGGACCACCTTCAATAGCTTATCATTATCCTAAATGTCTTCTCAAGAGACTGAAAAGGAGATCAAACCCCAAACCCATCTGGAAATAACAGTAGTAACACAGGAATGAGTTATTGTGAAGTATTAAATTGCAAGACTGATTGTAAAATAGCTGTGAGGACTCAGGTCTTTCTGGGTAACCTCAGTCCAGCTCTAAATGTGACTAAATCATCTTTTTAAGAACAAATAATTATTAATTTGGCTGTCTTGGGGAGCAACAGGATTTTCTCCTTAGTTTTCCTTCTCTTATTTGGCTCATGTGATCCATAGGTAAGAAGAGGTGGATAGTTAAGAAGGGATGTTAGAGATAATTCCATTTAACCCCTTTATACTGAAGTGAGTTAGTCCAAGGAGCAAGTGCTGCTTTGGGAATTTTTAAATAAGATATTAATGGGATTTGACTGGGATCTGGCTCAAAGAGTAAGCCATCTTTTACTGCACCATCTTTAAAAGGCTGGTTGGGTGACTCAGCATGTTTATGCAAACACAATGTGCTTGTGCTAAAAAAAGAGAAATATCTTCTAGTTTCTAATGGAACTTCAAAGGCAGTAATTTCTAATCGCCTTTAACAATGGACATTTGCCACACAGATGAGTGAGTTTAAATGTTTTGAGGCAAACCAAATTTATTTTGAAGCTCAGTGTAAATGCCAAACCAACTCTGCACAGGAGCACAAACACCACAGGAGCAGAAAGCTGTTTGCTGGTGCTGGCTCTGAGTGTGGTACCTGATGCTAAACCAAGTGTTCAGAGTCCAGCAGCTTTGTAAAACCAGTATCTGATGGAACAGTGGTCCATGCTGCTGTTGGTGATGGGAATGACTCAGCAGCAGTCACAGATATCAAAACATATGGATGCCTTCAACAGAACCACAAAGTATATCACTTGCTTTCAGGAAAAGGGACCATTTTCCAGGTTTCCTTCAGAGTTAGGCAGTTAATTCCCTGTTTCTCCTGTTGTGGGTACTGTTACTCCTGTATTTCAGAGTATCTCCATCCTGTGTTAAATAAAATCTTTTAGGCTGAAACTTGAACTTTAAATGATTTACATGAGCTGAGGTTTATCCATCACACCTGCTCTTAAGAAACCTCCAATTTGATGGCAAATACCTCAGGGGCTGCCCCAATCAGCCTTTGGATGGTCAGCTGCCCTCCACAGCACCTTCCTGAAGTTTGTACCTGCATCCTGTGCTCAACACAAGCCTGCAGCCAAGGAGGAAGGAAGCACTCTCCATCCATCAGTGACAAGCTGTGACCTGAGCTGGGGAGCACCAGGCAGCTGTGAGAGCACAGGGGCTCTGAGCAAGAACAGAACAATCAGACAGTTCAGAGTAACTTGGCTCACAGTGGATTTCTCATGCTGCAGGATGTTCCTCCTGGTAAAGCTGGATGAGTTTGGTTCTAATCACCTCACCCAGGCTACAGCATCTCCAAAGATGGGCAAAAAGTATCAAGTTTTGATCTAGGCAAGCACAGCACAGGGAAAACACCTCTTTTCTCCCTCAGTTCTTCTCTTCCCTTCAGAACTGTTCTGGGGAGATTTTAGCAGCAATTCTAAGTCCAGCACAAGAAGCAGGGGGGGGAAGAACAATATTTATCTGACCTCATTTATTGTGTGGCATCATTTAACAAACTTCTTAGTGGGAATCTTTTAAGAATTTCAGCATTAAAATTAATTCTGTCACAAATATAAAACTTATCAGGACTTTTGACTGAGAATGTCCTTACTGAGGCTTTTAAACACCAACAAAGTATTCAAGCAAGAAGTCAGCAAAGGGATTGTTCACTATGTGTTCTTTAATTCCAATTAAAAGTACATTAGAAACAGCACACAGGACCAGCAGCAGCTTCCATGACAATTCAACCCAATACTCTGCTGTCACCAGGTCATTCAACTGTACTAGGAAAGTAGGTGATTAAATCAAGTCTTCCACTCCACACGCAAGCACTCACTCACCTGCCACTTTAAATAGGATTCCAACAGAATAAAAATAGATACACCCCAGAATACAAAAAGTTTAATTTTAAGCTGTTTTTTTTTTTTTCTTCACTAAAGCCTTTATACAAATTGATAAAAGGGTGCACAATTTCCTAAAATTTTAGGTACATTTTAAATGAGCCTTTTTTTACTTGGTAAAAGGATCCATATTCCTGTCTTTGAACAGAATATGATGGCCAAAATTGCAAAGAAAACAATTCAGTTTAAATTTACAATTTATACATTTGTTTTGACATGATTCCCACGCTGAGTAGCAGGCCCATGGCTGCTCATGCATGTCCCATTTCCCCCCAACAAAGAGCTGTGCACCCTAAGTTCTGGTTCAGGAGCCTCCTTCTCCTGGAGACTGGGCTGGGGGACAGCCCACAGTGTCCAGCTGTGTGCACAAGAGTGGTCCCAACACACAGGAGGCATCATCCTTCCTTCTCCAGGAGCTGTGAATCCTTCCTTCTCCATGGAACACCCCGGGGCAGGGACCAACAACCTATTTTGCACTATGGAGCACTTCCCACCTGCAATTTGGCTGAGCAATTTGACTCAAAACTCTGGTACTGAAATGTACTGCAACAGGTAAATTTGGTGTACTAAGGGTACATTTTTTTGGTCAATCCAGGCTATCATGATTTGTTTGTTCTTTTAATCCTGTATCTGATGGGTGAAGCCCAACAGCTCTGTACATTACCCATGCTGAGCTTCAGAGCATGGTGCATTTAATCACATGGTGAATTTCATTCACAGAGGTGAATTTAATCAGGCAATCCATTAGTACAGTTCCCTTCATACTGCCCCTCCCACCCCACCCAACCACACCATAGCCAGGTTAAACACTTGGGATGAACTTCTGTAGTGTCACCACCACCCACGTCACGGAGAGAGGCCATCCCAACAAATCCAGGACAAAGGAAAAGAAAACACTGCCCAGCAAAGCCACACGGCACCTGTGTTTGCAAGTAGGAGCTACTGGAGACATCCTCAGGACAATTTATGGAAGGAAAAGCAGGGCAAATCCATCAGAAAGCCAGAAATGAGTCTTAAAGAGCTCAGGGGAGCGCCAAAGAGAATGACATCCTAGTTTGTACAAGTTAAGTATTTAGCCAAAAACCAGCTGCCTTGTTTGGGGTTTTCAGGTTTTCTTTTTTTTAAATTTTTTTTTCCTTTCCTTATGTCTGTTATATATTCAGCTGTTGGATTTAAACTGATCAGGTTAATGCTGCACATTATTCCAATTAAAGATAATAATTTTTTTTTCCTTTTAAAATTTTAGGTATTCCCTATTGCCTCTCTTTTGGCAAGTGTATTTCTCAGAATTCCAAAGATCATCCCATTTTAAGGCTAAACTAAGAAATGTTAAAAGCTTCTGTAAACATTTCCTCTTCCTCCCCATAGTTGCACAATTTGAAGTCCAACTGCAATTTTGAACATGAGGTAATTTTTGTGTACTCATATCTTGAAGAGTCCTTTTCGGGACGAGCTGAGAGGCTGTGCCAATCCAAACGCTGATCCAATTGTAGTGGGAGAGCTTCCACAGCAGGGCACACACCAGTTCCAGCAGCTATTTCAGTTATTTATCTTCTCAATTTCATCCAAGTCATCAGTATCCAATTTGTTTATCTTTTTATCTGGGAAAGAAGAGAAATAAGTCAGATTTCTTAACACTGAGCAGAGAAGGGAATGCTGCTCTCCTCAGCTGGACCCGAGTTCTGGTTTATCAGGGAATGTTCAGTCAGGTTTTAAAAATACAAATTAAAACTATTCCCTTTTATCAAAGGCCCATCTGGGTACTCCAGAACATCCACTTCAAGGACTATCCAGGCAGACAGCAAACAGCCTGATTTATTCTGCTCCTGTCCCAGGCAGCAGGTCACAATCCCAAGTGATGCTACACCAAACACTCCTGCTGTGCTCCTCTGCCACCCTTTAAGGCTCAACAAACACCCTGAGACCTGCTCAGCATCCAACAAGTCAAATTCTGCAATGATTCAACAGCTCAGAGCAAGGAGAAAGCCTGAGGGTACGTACTGAAATGTTCCTGGATTCTGTTGAGGATGTTCATGCTGTGCTTGCTGTCCACCATGTTAATGGCCAGCCCTCGCTTGCCGAAGCGGCCGGTGCGGCCGATGCGGTGCAGGTAGGTCTCGTTGTCTGGATTGCCATCCTTATCCACAGGCAGGTCAAAATTGATAACAACAGACACCTGCTCTACATCAATCCCTGGCAAAAAGAGAGCATCGGGTTACACAACTTCACTTAAATCTTTTTGCAGCAGGAACAGCCTCCTCACACTCTGAAATGGAGCTTTTCCACATATCCTCATGGGGTGGAAATAAAAACTATTGAGCTTTAGGGAAGAGCGTCCCACTGAAACAGCCAAAGGCACTTAAATATTCTGAAAATTCTACCAGCACTCAAGTATGTCAGAAACTTTCTCCTTCCCTGCAAAGCTCTAAAGACCACTTGTTTTTTTTCAAGTATGATCCTGTCTTAACTGTTCTAGGATGTCAAATTACACCACAAATTCCTACTGGGATAGTGAACTGGATTTCACTGGTTTTCAGTTTTCCGTACTTGGGCACATGTTCACTGCAAACTCTGAATGTCAGCAGCACAAGGCAGGCTTGGTGCCAGATTCTCACAGGATGGACTTTTCCATCTCAAGCAGCAGGAAGCCAACAAGCAATCCTGTGTTTGCCCACAGGCACACAGTGTAAGAACACCAATTTCTCCCAACTGGAACACCTGAGGATGTGAATTCTTCCTGTGAGCTGGCCAGGGCTATGTGTTATCTTAGGAAGTGCTGCTTGCAGCCCTCCCTGGGATGCCTTTTCAGGCCACCTAAAAGCAGAGGCCAGACAAAATAAAGGGAATAAAAAGTGGGTGTATTTATTGAAGGGCCTTCAGGTACACCTCAGGCAGACAAAGCTCCCCAGAGGCCACACTCAAAAATGGACCACAGGTTTTCACTTTTCACTTATATAAATTTGGTTCATTTGCATATTGGGGGTTAATCCTCCAATTACAGCTTCAGCTAATGAAGTCATTTACCCCAAGTTTGCTCCCCCAGCTCCCTTTTGTTGAATCTCTGGGGGCCTGAGGCAGTGAGGTG